CGAGCGTGCTTCTAGTTGTGCCGTTTACTTGCATTTTTAATAACTGAACTTTAAGCGAGGATTCATAAGGTGTTTCATTTTACCTCCCAAAAAACTGGCCTATCAAGGCCTGTATGTTGATGTCGCTCGAAGAGGCATAACACAGGAGACGATTTATGAACGGAAAGTGAAGGCCCGGTAGCCTAATCGTTCAAGATCCTTTTCTGCATTATACAATATAGGTACTTGATTCTAAGAGCAAAACAGTGAGCCTTCAAAAAGCGCGTGATTTGAAACGAAATGAATTTAACGGCAGACTTCAGTAATATTTTCTAGTTCGAAAAAATCTCATTAAAAAGGCCAAAAATGCTAGTCACTGATGAAAACCTACGTCTGTGCCCTGCTAGCCTATTCGAAGGATGCTCACGCAAAAACAAAATATTAGGATGTAGAAAGCGCGATCCTTGAAAGTACATTAGAAGTCCAATTTACAGACTAAATACTGTTAGTCCGTACATTTGTCGTAAATCAAAGTATATTTACTGTCCACTATTCCATTCCCGGACTCTGTTCTTGCAATTCAATTTTCAAAAAACTATACGGCAGAGGTTTGATCTACACTGGCCATCGAAATTTTTAAAAGACTTCCTCCCGAGCACTTTAAAAGTACGACTAGTCATTTTAGCTCCGTATGGCTGATTTAAGTTTTGGATTAATGGAAAAGAAGCGACAGGCTTTTCAATCTTTCGACATTTTGTTAACTTTGTAACAAATGTCGTGAAAGAAAAAGGAATTATTCATAGTCTAGCTTTAAGTGCACTAGGTTTTTTATCTTATAAAAATTGTCTACAAATATTGCCGAAGGAAGTTGGACAGGTCTAAAGTTAGCTGCCCTTCAAAAGGCCTATTATTCTGCAATGATGTTTGATACAAGCTCGTATTCATCGTTCTCAGGTACCTAAAAATACAGATAATGGTTTTTTTACATTACAGTGCTTATTTTAGTTATAAACTTTTATTTTGGAGCAGTGTTTTTCC